GCGTTCGAAGCGAGGAACATGGCCATGTTCCATGCTTCCATTGCTAAGCCCGCGCCACCACACCACCACCTCCTCTTGCCCACACTGCGCAGCCACCATCTTAGCCTAGTGTGCCACCACCACCACCCGTTCTGCTTTCGCTCTGCGCAACCATCCATCTCGCCTTGACGTACAATAGCCAATGCCATCAGCGTCCTCCCATGATGCAGCCATCTCTGCTCCCCTGCATCGCCATCATCCCAACCTCATGCGCCACCGTTGTCATACCGACCTCACGTGTCACTGCTAACTCTCGCAACCATGTGTAGTGTTGCCTCAAGGGTCACTTCCGCCCCACGTGTCCCACCTTGCACCCATGGGTGGGCGCCGCCTCACCTGAGGGGAGTCGCCAGCGCCGGTTCCTCCGCTCTCATGATCCCTGCGCCACCCCTCTTGGGGACTTTGTAGCCATTGGGACTCCAACTCCAGACCGTCTCTACAGCAATCGCCCCTGCATTCAGCTGTCGCTGCCTCTGTGACCCTAATCGAGAAAGGGAGTGTCGTGGGTTCGATACCATGGGTAGCGATTAGTGATTAGATCGGTAGGTCGATGTGAGGGACTCCGGTGGTTAAGCACTTAAGACACAAAGGATTTATCCTTGTCCGGGCGTTTAAGCCCTAAGTCCAACATCTAGTTCTTCATGTTAGAATGCTCAATCGAGTTCTTACAATGGAGAAGAGGGAGAGTTGGTAGGAGAGTGCTAAGCTAGTGATCTTGGGTTTCTCAGATTGATCTAGGGCCCGATCCCCTTCTATAGGAGCCCTTGCCCTACCTTAGTTCTAGAAGCTCCCTTGGCGGCCAAGGGAGTTGTAGGGTTTCATGTCCTAATCTTCGTGCCGGTGGTGGCATCGGCGCCATCCCTCATCCATGGTCATGGCCAACAGTGTTGAACCGTCTCTGACATCCTCTGCTGGAGCTTGGAGCCAACCGTCAGAAGCAGGAGTTGTCATGCCTCGCCTGGAATTGTCCTTGTGGCGGCCATCACACGCCATGGGAGCGGGCACATGTAGGGAGAGGTTGATTGACGGGCTTGTGCCTCCCCGCGCAGTGGTCGCGCGCTCGTCCTTGTCGCAGTGTCATGCCCCAGGCATGACCTTGAGCCTTGAGTGGTCGACACTGCCTCGCAGGGGCGAGGGGACAGAGCCCTAGCATGGCCTGACGCCTTGCTACTCTGCCCGTGTGTTAGGCTTAGAGCATTTGTCGGATTCTAGAGGAAGATTCCTCACGTCGTTTGGGAAAACATGGACCTATTGGGCTCTATATATAAATATTGGAGGAAAGGGAGATGTAGGGTACCTGTTGACAGCAAAAGTACCAAACAAATGCAAAAGAATTTTGACAGTGTAAATGTGTAATAATCTATTTTGGTACTGGAATGTGTGGAAAGATCGAAACCGGAGGACCGGAGGGTTTTTGGGTACACCTCCTTACAACCTCTACACAGCTGGCATTCTTGATCAAAGGAGGATATTCAACTCGTCAAGCTGGGTCACCCCTACAATGCATCGCATGAGACAGTTTAGTAATAGTTCTAGGTGTTTCAAGGAAGTTGTTCCTTCTGTTAGGAGGCTGCCCATGACCTGTGATTGTGACTTTGCATTGGGAGCTGTTTAATTTGCGAATCTCCTCACAGCAGCCGTAGCTGTTTTTATGCTCCATCCTCCTTCCTTGGTTCCTTCTCTTTTTTCTTTCTTTCTGGGTTTATGTTTTTCTTTTCGGATAAAGAAAATGAAACAACACTATTATTCAGCCTGTTAATAATTTAGTAGTGCGCGCATATATATATGGGGGTTGGGTACATATGAGTACACGTGCAATCGAAATGATATGGATTATTGTTACACTTTATATCCACTCAAATACAATATCAGGTGTAACTGATTGACTTTTGCACGAACCAGACAAGAAAGTCTAGGCAAATGTACGATTCGTACGAACAAATTTCCATGGAGTGTTTTTTTCCCGGTCAACGCTACTAACTGACGCTGCATCGTCAGTCACCACTCAACAACTCCATGAGAAATTTGTTTGTGTACAAACGTACACGTAGTGCAATCCACTACTAGTTGCGATCCAGACAGCAGCAATACAATACCTTTAGCGTCCACAACGTATAGGTCTGATCACACTTCACACGTAGTAGGTACAGACGAGGTCCTCCGTATGTCGTATCAGACACGTATAGGTCTGATCCAGACAGCAGCAATACAATACCTTCATCTTCATGGTGGCGCGCGCTCCCGTATGTCGTATCAGACGAGGTCCTCCCGCATCCTGCGGGTGAAGTCGTCGGCGTGCTCCTTGGTGACGCAGCTGGCCAGAAGCCGCGTGCCGGCGAGCGGCGCGGGCGCCCTCATGACGATGACCGATGCGATGAGGTCGCAGTTCACCAGCGGGCCGGCGGTTTAATACATATTTTGAATTGAATATATAAGAGTTCATACAAAACTTATATTTTGAATTGAATATATAAGAGTTCATACAAAACTTATATCTGACAAGTTTTTAACCCTGGACCCGTTGTTAATACATATTTACTGTGCCCTCTTATATTTTGAATTGAATATATAAGAGTTCATACAAAACTTTGAATCTGCAGTTTAATTATTGTTTTTGCCTAGCTTTATTTTTCCGAATTAAATAGTAGATTAATTCTGAAAATTTTCTACACTTTGAAATTAGTTCTGAAAAATGCTAGCACAATATCATTATGAATTATATACCATGTAATTGTAAGAATAAAAACTTGAATTATTAAACTAAAAATATGGTATAAGGTATATGGCCTCTCTAAATCCTGCAGACCTTAGACTTATCACCTTTGAGAGGCTCATATTTGTTTTTCCTAGCATAATGAATTTTTGGGATGAATGAATGGTTTGTATTAATTCTAAAAATTTGCATATACCATAATCCTAAAAAAATGTTAGGATGCTTCTAAGAGTATTTTGTATAACCATCCGCTATGTTTTTGCACTTTGCCACTTGTTCACAGGTAGTAAACTCATACGCACATGATGATTCCGGTAATAATAATATATGCATACCTTCGTGAAGAAAAAATATCCTGAACTTGTCCTGAATGCAGAATTATATAGCATGGTCATTTATTAAATACTAGTAGGATATTCTACTACACTGAAATGGAGTGGACCTTAAGCATTATAGTTCATGATATTACTCTCAAAGAATGAGTATGTGACCAAACTAAATCCTAAAGGTCTTATGATACTCACTACATGAGAAATTATAGAAGATATCCTATATTATGATGATTGCATAATGTTAGAAATATTGAAAATTGAATTTTCAAGCTTATATGACCATATGGGATACAAATGCTACTCTATAAACAAATACAATTAGCTTGAAACTTTGTGTTAAAAGTCATAGAAGACGAGATGATAAAGACGAATTTATCTAAATTTCAGAAGAAATATTTCTTGAAATAGAAGATCAAGAGCATTGAAGTACTACAAGTATCCTATATCATCCAGAATTACTCAATATCAAGTAGAAATTGAGTCAGAATTTTTAGATAGCTCTATAAATCAGGATATGTGATTTGCATATATTATACTCCTAGAAGGATCGAGCAAGCACGAAGCTGCTAAATATCAAGCATCGAAGCTAAGACAAGTAAGAATGGATAGAAATTAGAACATTTAAAGTTTCTCTTGAAGAAGAACTTAAATCATGTGCTTATAAATTTATTGCTTTTGAAATTCATATCCTGAAGTATTGATAGTAGTGGTGGTGGTGCTTTAACTTTTAATTCCTGTTGAATTAAGTGGATTATGTAAACTCATAGAAGAGTTAATGGTTGCTTTATTAGCTTGAAGACTAATATGAAGTTCTTAGTTGCAATTTTTATTGGCAGTAATATATGTTAATCTTGCATGCAATGAATTAGATTTATATGTTTTACATATAAACAATTGCCTATTGCCTATCTAAATAAATTTTGTATTAATTTTATTCATAAAGAAACCTCAATTAACCATGAAGGTTATATAGTTCTTTATGCACTACTACCATGTAGGTAGAAAGGAAACTGAATTTCTAGAAGCACATGAACAATTGAACTATACTAGCATTTTAATTGATCTTGAAGGATCAACTTAGTCAAGAAATATTATAATCCATAAACGAAGTATTTAATACTTTAGCCCAGAAACTATAAGTTGTTTAATTTGCGAATCTCCTCACAGCAGCCGTAGCTGTTTTTATTCTCCATTTCTAGGTGTTTCAAGGAAGTTGTTCCTTCTGTTAGGAGGATGCCCATGACCTGTGATTGTGACTGAGCACTGGGAGTTGTTTAATTTGCGAATCTCCTCACAGCAGCCGTAGCTGTTTTTATTCTCCATTCTCCTTCCTTGGTTCCTTCTTTTTTTTCTTTCTGGGTTTATGTTTTTCTTTTCGGATAAAGAAAATGAAACAACACTATTATTCAGCCTGTTAATAATTTAGTAGTGCGCGCATATATATATATATGGGGGTTGGGTACATATGAGTACACGTGCAATCGAAATGATATGGATTATTGTTACACTTTATATCCACTCAAATACAATATCAGGTGTAACTGATTGACTTTTGCACGAACCAGACAAGAAAGTCTAGGCAAATGTACGATTCGTACGAACAAATTTCCATGGAGTGTTTTTTTCCCGTCAACTCTACTAACTGACGCTGCATCGTCAGTCACCACTCAACAACTCCATGAGAAATTTGTTTGTGTACAAACGTACACGTAGTGCAATCCACTACTAGTTGCGATCCAGACAGCAGCAATACAATACCTTTAGCGTCCACAACGTATAGGTCTGATCACACTTCACACGTAGTAGGTACAGACGAGGTCCTCCCGTATGTCGTATCAGACACGTATAGGTCTGATCCAGACAGCAGCAATACAATACCTTCATCTTCATGGTGGCGCGCGCTCCCGTATGTCGTATCAGACGAGGTCCTCCCGCATCCTGCGGGTGAAATCGTCGGCGTGCTCCTTGGTGACGCAGCTGGCCAGAAGCCGCGTGCCGGCGAGCGGCGCGGGCGCCCTCATGACGATGACCGACGCGATGAGGTCGCAGTTCACCAGCGGGCCGGCGGACATGGGCGTGCCGTACCCGTAGTCCACGTCGGCGAACCCGAGCTTGCTCCAGTCCGACACGTACACGGACTCGTAGTTGAAGGTCATCAGGAACGGGTCGACGCCGCCGGTGCGGCCCTCGGCCCAGCTCAGGCACTCCTCGGCCATCCGCCGCTTCGCCTCCCGGACCATGCCGACGAGCTCGACCACCGACTAGCCGGCCACCTTCTCCGCCGGCGCCTGCACCTTGACGGGGAAGATGGCGTTGCCGTAGTAGCCCGGGTCCAGCTTCAGCTCGTGGCGGACGCTGGCGAAGAAGCAGAGCCTGATGTCGTCGGCGGCGGCGCCGGCGTCGATGATGGCACGCGTCCGGCACTGCCACAGCTAGCAATATGATTTAAAACTATGATTTGGTAATCATTATAAAATTATGTTGTTTTAACCTAATGGATTTGAAACTGAACTTGTATTAATTACTTGTGACCCTATTATAATATTATTTCCGCTGCAAACTCTGTGCATGTGATAGGCATTTACTTAATCAAGTACGATCTTGGTTGTGAAGTTGATTTATCGAGGCCTTCGTGGTACTCGACGGACTATCGGGTTTATATAAGTGACAGTATGCGCGTGACAACGTGTTTAACGGGGACAATCATACTTAATCTTTTATAAATTGGACGGTTCTAAGACAGGCAGCATCGGGGAGCGATGCGAGGACGTTGAGATCAGCCTAGAACGCTCTGCCGTGCGTTCGTGTTGTTTGGACAGCCTGTGTAGAATGGGTTGTCGGCGTGGGCTATTGTTGCGAGGACGTTGAGATTGGCCTTGGGCGGCTCTGCGCGGCCGCCTGCTTGCTCGGCTAGCGGTAGCCTGGCTGCCTAGCGCGGTGGTGGCTTGCACGGCGATGACGTGGCTGGCCTCACGCGGCTTCTCACTCGCTTGGCAATGGTGTGGCAGCGTGGCTGCTAGGCGTGGCCACCAGCCTAGGTTCGGGCACGTCGTGGCTGGTCCGCTCGCCCAGCAACGATAGGGCTACAGGCACGGCCACCTGATCAAGTTCTCTCTGTTGGGGCTATTTTGAAAGAGAGTTATAGAAGGGAAGGGGCTCAATGAAAAAATACCAAGATTTTGAACCGGTATGGACTTGCGGTGCACAACATAAAAAATTTAGGGACTCAAAAATGCACTTCGAGAGTTATTGGACTTAGATGACACCCCTCTAAAAGTTAATGGACCTATGGTGCATTTTACTCTGTTATTTTATAACGTGGGAACGTAAATATTTCTGCAGGAACATGGAAGTCCCTGGAAAGATGTTCCCGGAACGAGGAACGTGGCCATGTTCCATGTTTCCGGCTGCTAAGCCCGCGCCATCACTGCCACCACCTCCTCTTGCCCACACACTGCAGCCGCCATCTCAACCTAGTGTGCCACCACCACCACCCGTTCCCGTTCCGTGCTACCGCAACCATCCCTGCCGCAGCGTACAATAGCCAATGCCATCAGCGTCCCCGCATGATGCAGCCATCTCTGCTCCCTGCATCGCCATCATCCCAACCTCATGCGCCACCGTTGTCATACCGACCTCACGTGTCACTGCTAGATCTCGCAACCATGTGTAGTGTTGTCTCATGGGTCACTGCCGCCCTGTGTGTCCCACCTTGCACCCCTGGGTGGGCGTCGCCTCACCTGAGGGGAGTCGCCACCACCGGTTCCTCTGCTCTCGTGATCCCTGCGCCACCCCTCTTGGGGCCTTTATAGCCATTGGGACTCCTACTCCGGACCGTCTCAACAGCAATCGCCCCTGCATTCAGCTGTCGCTGCCTCTGTGGCCCTAATCGAGAAAGGGAGTGTCGTGGGTTTGATACCATGGATAGCGATTAGTGATTCGATCGGTAGGTCGATGTGAGGGACTCTGGTGGTTAAGCACTCAAGACACATAGGATTTATCCTTGTCCGGGCGTTTAAGCCCTAAGTCCAACATCTAGTTCTTCATGTTAGAATGCTCAATCGAGTTCTTACAATGGAGAAGAGGGAGAGTTGGTAGGAGAGTGCTAAGCTAGTGATCTTGGGTTTCTCAGATTGATCTAGGGCCCGATCCCCTTCTATAGGAGCCCTTGCCCTACCTTAGTTCTAGAAGCTCCCTTGGCGGCCAAGGGAGTTGTAGGGTTTCATGTCCTAATCTTCGTGCCGGTGGTGGCATCGGCGCCATCCCTCATCCATGGTCATGGCCAACAGTGTTGAACCGTCTCTGACATCCTCTGCTGGAGCTTGGAGCTGACCGTCAGAAGCAGGAGTTGTCATTATGCCTCTCCTGGAATTGTCCTCGTGGCGGCCATCGCACGCCATGGGAGCGGGCACATGCAGGGAGAGGTTGACTAGCGGGCTTATGCCTCCCCGCGCAGTGGTCGCGCTCGTCCTTGTCGCAGTGTCATGCCCCAGGCATGACCTTGAGCCTTGAGTGGTCGACACCGCCTCGTAGGGGCGAGGGGACAGAGCCCTAGCAGGGACTGACGCCTTGCTACTCTGCCCATGTGTTAGGCTTAGAGCATTTGTCGGATTCTAGAGGAAGATTCCTCACGTCGTTTGGGAAAACATGGACCTATCGGGCTCTATATATAAATATTGGAGGAAAGGGTGATGCAGGGTACCTGTTGACAGCAAAAGTACCAAAACAAATGGAAAAGGATTTTGACAGTGTAAATGTGTAATAATCTATTTTGGTACTGGAATGTGTGGAAAGATCGAAACCGGAGGACCGGAGGGTTTTTGGGTACACCTCCTTACAACCTCTACACAGCTGGCATTCTTGATCAAAGGAGGATATTCAACTCGTCAAGCTGGGTCACTCCTACAATGCATCGCATGAGACAGTTTAGTAGTAGTTCTAGGTGTTTCAAGGAAGTTGTTCCTTCTGTTAGGAGGCTGCCCATGACCTGTGATTGTGACTTTGCATTGGGAGCTGTTTAATTTGCGAATCCCCTCACAGCAGCCGTAGCTGTTTTTATTCTCCATCCTCCTTCCTTGGTTCCTTCTCTTTTTTCTTTCTTTCTGGGTTTATGTTTTTCTTTTCGGATAAAGAAAATGAAACAACACTATTATTCAGACTGTTAATAATTTAGTAGTGCGCGCATATATATATATATGGGGGTTGGGTACATATGAGTACACGTGCAATCGAAATGATATGGATTATTGTTACACTTTATATCCACTCAAATACAATATCAGGTGTAACTGATTGACTTTTGCACGAACCAGACAAGAAAGTCTAGGCAAATGTACGATTCGTACGAACAAATTTCCATGGAGTGTTTTTTTCCCCGTCAACGCTACTAACTGACGCTGCATCGTCAGTCACCACTCAACAACTCCATGAGAAATTTGTTTGTGTACAAACGTACACGTAGTGCAATCCACTACTAGTTGCGATCCAGACAGCAGCAATACAATACCTTTAGCGTCCACAACGTATAGGTCTGATCACACTTCACACGTAGTAGGTACAGACGAGGTCCTCCCGTATGTCGTATCAGACACGTATAGGTCTGATCCAGACAGCAGCAATACAATACCTTCATCTTCATGGTGGCGCGCGCTCCCGTATGTCGTATCAGACGAGGTCCTCCCGCATCCTGCGGGTGAAGTCGTCGGCGTGCTCCTTGGTGACGCAGCTGGCCAGAAGCCGCGTGCCGGCGAGCGGCGCGGGCGCCCTCATGACGATGACCGACGCGATGAGGTCGCAGTTCACCAGCGGGCCGGCGGACATGGGCGTGCCGTACCCGTAGTCCACGTCGGCGAACCCGAGCTTGCTCCAGTCCGACACGTACACGGACTCGTAGTTGAAGGTCATCTGGAACGGGTCGACGCCGCCGGTGCGGCCCTCGGCCCAGCTCAGGCACTCCTCGGCCATCCGCCGCTTCGCCTCCCGGACCATGCCGACGAGCTCGACCACCGACGAGCCGGCCACCTTCTCCGCCGGCGCCTGCACCTTGACGGGGAAGATGGCGTTGCCGTAGTAGCCCGGGTCCAGCTTCAGCACGTGGCGGACGCTGGCGAAGAAGCAGAGCCTGACGTCGTCGGCGGCGGCGCCGGCGTCGATGATGGCACGCGTCCGGCACTGCCACAGCTTGGCGATGACGATGTCGAAGCCCGAGCAGATCTTGCCGCCCGTGGATGCCGCGTACTGCGACTTGAGCTTGTCCAGGTACGCGGTGGGGAAATCGAACGCGATGTACTCCAGCGCCAGCACCGGCAGCTCCGGGAGCGGGCCGGGCTTGATGTCCGGGTCGGGGAACCGGTCCCGGCCCCAGATGGGCTTCACGCGGGGCTCCGGCAGCCCGCGGGCGAGGTCGCCGACGGCGTTCAGGAACTGCGCCGCGCCCGTGCCGTCCGCCACCGCGTGGTTGGTGCGCAGGCCCAACACGAAGCCGCCGCAGGTGAAGGTCGTGACCTGAAAATAACGACTTGAAAAGTTCTCAGTGCTGCGTATATGATCGTCACCAAGTTGATGAGGTAATTGTTAGTATTCTATTACTAGTATAGTTAGTCATAGGTACGGTGCAAGTTTAACTTTATGGAGAAAGTCAGAAAGAAGACCAATGAACCTGATGATCTACCAGTTGATTTCTAACGAACATTGTCAGGTTTTGCTGTGTTCAAAGCCATGCAAATACTATGTTAAATCTTGTCATCGAAAATATATTTGTGAAAGTACACGGTCTTTAATTTGTGACAACTGTTTAGGACAGTGCAACTCATGGTTGCATATTTGCTCCCGTTCCAATCATGCATGCAGTTGGCTTTAATTTGCACGAAAGTTTGGTGTGTTTTACACCGTCGTCTGATCGAACTGCTGCTCACATCTCCTCATTCATGGATCTACGTGTCAGAACCAATGAAACAGGAAATATGTACAGTGCGAAGCGGGCAAGTAAGTAGATCCAGCTCCAGCGCACCTGTATCATGGCGAGGCTATTGTGCGGCTCGACGGGCCAGAGCTCCGGCGTCGGGCACGGCACGAGCTGCTCCTTGGAGAGCAGCAGCGGCCGCTCCAGGAAGCTGACGTCGGCGAGGGTGCAGTTGGCGGCGGCCTCCACGAAGTAGACGCCCTCGGCAGAGCACAGCACGGCGGGGCGCCCCGGCACGTCCTCCACGATCCGACCCGCGAACGGGTAGTAGTGCACCAGCGCGTCCGCCAGCGCGCCGCGCACCACCGCGGCCGGGGACTTCGTCTTGGTGGTCACCTCCTTCTTCGTCGGCGCCAGTGCATCGTCGGCCTCTGCTGCTCCCGCGGCCGGCGCCGGCGGAAGCAGCATCGTCTTCGCGACGTCGTCGGAGCAGTAGATGTGCGTGGACTCGACGAGGCCGCGGTGCGTCGGGTACCGGTCGACCCAGGCCAGGGGCAACGTCTCCGACGGCGTGTCGGCGGACGGCCGCACCGGCCCCTCGGACAGCTTGGTCACCGTGAAGATGCCCATGGCTCTGTGGTCTTGTCTCTTGTTGTCTGCTAGATCTCGCCGGCTTGGCGTTGGCGCGGCTCGTAGGAGACGACAGGTTCTCGGTGGAGGTGGGGGAGCATATAGCGAGCGGCGCAGGTTTTTTATAGGTCCAGCACGGTAGTTGGGCAACAACTTCTTGGCACACTTTATACTGCTATAGTCCTCCGTCCAAAAAAGAATGATATTTTTTATTTTTAGACATTGTGTTTCACCGTTTGTTTTATTAAAAAAATTATATAAATTATAAAATAAATAAATTATTATTAAAGTATATCTAATGATGTAATAAGTCATAACAAAATATATGATATTTATATAAAATTTTTTGAATAAGACGGATGGTCATACAAGATGTCTGAAAGTTAAAAATAATATTTTTTTTAGGATGGAGGGAGTATGTTGCAGATTATTTATTTGACTATAAAAGGTCGGGAGATTGATGTTGTGCCTAGAACTCAAGTATTCAACGCTTATCAGTGAAGTGCATATGTTTTCCATGTGGTACTATTCTACGCTTGTAAAGGTATGAGCATATTTCTCTTACATTAAAGAAATTAATAAACAAATTAGTGAAGTGCGTGGCAAAGTACATGGGCAAAGACAGATAGCTACACAACGAAACAGTTTTAACCGGTTTATTAGTTGGCTTTAATACCAGCCGAACAGGCCACAAAAACAGCACAATGTTTGCTTGATCGTATCAGCCATGCTTATCAGTCATGATATAGTGTTTTTCTCTCACAATAAGTACTACTACAGAATCGATTTTTAAGGGCGGCTCGTAACCATTTGTAGGGGCGGTTTGGCCAGCCGCCCCTACCGAACCGTCTCCACAAATCATGCATTTGTAGGGGCGGTTCCCAGGCCGCCCCTACAAATCGATTTGTAGGGGCGGCTCGTATTACCAGCCGCCCCTACAAACAGGTATTTGTAGGGGCGGTTTAATCTACAACCGCCCTTACAGTACGTTTTCCCGCAAAAAAAATCAAATTTACAATTCAAAATCGTGTTGCCGAACGTCCCGCGACCAACGTTCTGAACCGCGTTCGCGTTGCCGAACGCCCCGCGACCAACGTTCCGAACCGCGTTCGCATTACCGATCGCCCCGCGACCGCGACTACAAGCACAAGAGTATTCTATAAACTACAATTACAAGTCCAATTAACAAGAATATATACAATCCATCATTAAATATACAAATTCCATACATATTGTCATCAACGTCCTAGAGCTAGCCTTTCAGTCTCACGAAGGTGTTGGTACTGAGGATTTGTACCTAACTCAGACTCTCGGTCATGGTAGACGCATCTGACATGTACAATATGGTCTAATATGAAGTTGCAAAGGTCGCCGACGAGCTCTAAGAGTTGGTCATCCTTGTATGGGTCTCTTTTCATTCCTTTCTCTTCTCTCCACTATAAGAGAATAAGTTTCGGTTTAGTATTTCATACCATGTACGAAGTTTTTATACTACGGATGAAGAGGTTCAAACTTACCCTTAAGGACAGTAGTATAGTAGTAGTAGAACAGCCATTGTGTTCCATGAAATAAAGCCATTAATAAGAACAATGTGATAGAATACAAGTATCAGTGGTACCATGTTGACAATGTGATAGGAAATAAAGCCAATTTGTTGACAGTTTAAATCAGCAAAGGAGCAGCTGCTACTGTCAAATAAGAGAGAAGAGAGAAGAAGATAGAAGAGAGGAGAAGAGAGGTGAGAGAAGAGAGAATAGAGGTCTGCACATTATTTAAATCAGAATAGAAGCAACTGCTGCTGCCAAACAAGAGAGAAGAGAGGAGAAAATAGAAGAGAGGAGAAGAGAGGTGAGTAGAAGAGAGAAGAGAGGTCTGCATATCATTTAACTCAGCAAAGGAGCAGCAGCTGCTGCCAAAAAAAGTAGCAGCGCAGCTATTGCCATATAGGAGAGTAGTAGAAGCAGCAGCTGTTGCAAATGACAGGAAATGAGTTCAAGCACTTAAGCAGTAGAAAAACAGCAAGACATGATAACTTAACTGAAAAAATGACTGATAACTCAACCTTTCTAATGCTAGTAACTTCTAACAGCAAGACATGACAATACAAGTCCCAAACTAAGTGTGGAAGGATAAGAACCATTGCTCAAGTAGACAGCTAGGTGTGGAAGAATATCAAGAAGCATAACCAAACTAAGCAGGTTTAGTATACATATGGCAGAGCTAAACTGAAACTTAGAAACAACAGCAATTCAGTCAAAGAAATAAATCATAGCTGGAGTTCTAGACAATGGAAAATTATATACTTTACCATTTTGAAAAGCTTAGGAAAAGCACTAGAACTACAGTGTGCAACAGGAACTAGTTTTGATGTTAACATAGCAAAGCAGATATTATACCAAACACACATAACATGGTGAGACTTCTGTAAAAAGTGAAGGAAAAAAGGAAAAATATTGAGAGATCTGTACTTCTGACGGGTACATATGTTCAGTGTTTGGAATTTTATTACTGCCATTGCATGAACGATGAATCTTCCATTTTTTTGTAGAGTTTTAGGGCCATGTCTCGTCTTTCATAAAGATGAAAGGACAACAATTCAGATTACAGTGCAGGGTTTAAGTCAATCATTTCGAATCCAGAACAAAACCCAATAAAGGGCTGCCTTACAAGCTTACTGAGCTGAAGAAGTGAGTGAAAACCTGTTCATTTCATAGTTTGAGTTCTCACTCATTAGTTATCATTGTCACCTAGATTTCTGTGTCAAACATGATAAGTACTTGTGTTGTTTCTAGGATGCCGGAGAAATTTAAAAATGATGTGGAGAAGCAACAAGTAGAGCAAATGACGGATTGGCAAACAAAGCTTGTTATGATGGACTCTAAGGAACGACAGTATATCCTCCAAGTCTCAAATTATAAGGTGAATAGCATTTTGTATTATTTATATTAGGAGTTAGCTTTTGCTTGTGCTTCCAGTTCTTGATTTTGACATGCTAGGTGTGGACGACAATCACCTAAATCGAAACTGTCAACTAGTGCAATAGCTTGTAAGCTATCAATTTCATGTATTGGTTAATTATTAGGTACAGTAATTCTAATACATGAGGACAAAATCTTTTGGGTACGAGCTCTATATGTATAAATGTGATGCACATCTTGTTTAAATGTTCTGATAACACTATTCTACCCCTTGGTGCTAACATTTGTTCCTTGTCCTGCCTTAGCCTGTTTCCTGTAAACTGTGTGTGGTGTGTAATGCTATGTATAGTGAAACCTCAGAAGCAAATATAGTAATGAAGAAAAGGGACTGTTGGTTATTTTCTAGTTGACATTTTTGTTGTAACTATCCATAATCCATCTTTATAGACATAGCTTTAAGCATGCCTCATAACATGGTTTTGAACCCAAGGTGGATTATTTAACAAGTTGAGATATCAAGAATTAAGTAAGCAAAGGCTTGACCGAGCTATTCTCGTCTTTGTACAAAGTTTCAGAAGGTCATATGTAGGAGACCAAGCCATGCATTCTTCAAAGGTTAATAAACAATTATTCTTTTATTTTCTCTTTTGATGGGCTTCTTTTGGTTTATTATGCGGAACCAATACGCAAAAATTCTTCTTTGTGAATTCTGAGTGAGGATGCATTCTTCAAAGTGCTATCTTTGAGGTGACTATTCATTTATTGATTTTGGCTTAAGCTTTACCTTTGAGCTTTCTTGACCTTTGTTGTGGTTCTGAGTGAGGATGTTATTGATCATACTCTGTCCCTGTTCCTTGATCCGCAACCTGGGTAAAGTTGTGACTATTTTTTTTTTTTTTCTCATTTATTGCGTGATGACAGTTCATTTTTTCTTGCCAAGTCAGCTATATGATTGGAAAACTGAACTTGGGCTGGTCTCAATAGAATGAATTGCATGATTGGAATAGAATTGTGATGTGCGTGCTACAAAGCTGCTGTAAAGCTGCTACCTTGGTTAAGGAGAAGGGCTAAAAATCAGTGCATAGTGCTGACTATAAATCATTTATCTGAACCTCAACTGATTCAACCACCGCGCGAAACAGAGCTGGAGCAGGTCCTAGGGCGGGCGACACACTTGAGGAAACTCCCCTTGCACGGGCTGTCTCTGGGCGGTTGGCTGGTGGGGCCAACCAACCACCAGGCGGTGTCGGGGCAGGCCAAGTGAGGCGGTGGTGGTGGAGGTGGAGCGGGCGGGCGTCGGTGGCGGGGGCTATGGAGGTGGCACGCATGTGAATGGAGCGGAAGCAGAGGGAAAGAGAGTGACTGTGTATTGGGTCTTCCTACACTTAGTGCGTGGAGGCCGCCCGTCGGTGGAAACCCTAGGGAGGCACGCCGCCGGCCGGTCGGAAACCCTAGGGAGGGGAGGAGCAGGCACGCGGGTGCTAGGAGGGGGCGCTGGGGAGGGAGGGGGCATGGTGCAGAGAGGGGCGGGGGGAAGGCGCGGGCGGGCGTCAGGGTGAGCTAACTGTGGCGTCGGAGGAGACAAGAGCGCCCAACAGCAGACAACACCCGTGCGCCCGTGGATTTATAGTCGGGATGATTTGTAGGGGCGGTTCCTGATCCAGCCGCCCCTACAAATGCATTTGTAGGGGTGGTTTCTGATCCAGCCGCCCTACAAATGCATTTGTAGGGGCGGTTCCTGATCCAACCGCCCCTACAAATATTTTTTATTTTTTTAAATAATTAATTCTGTATTTTTTATATCATAAAACACAAAGTAATATAAAAACAATTGTGTATATGCACAAATATAATATTTTGTACTATTCTATATATGAAGAAATATATATATAAACAATTGTAGTCAAAACAATATAGAAAAAAAATTAAATTTTAAAATTTCGACTACAATTTTATGACATTAAATGAAATAAAATGAAAATATTGTAAACATAAAAGTTGTATAACTCATCAACATGTACAACATTTATTTTGGTCATCTTATCATGTGACTTTGTTTGAACGATTCAAATTTTGAAATTC